AATGATACTATTCCATGAACTCAAAGGATGCCATTAAGGTCTCTTTATACATGGAGATATTGTTATGAAAAAAACGGGCAACACTAGCATTTAGCATCTTTGCTATACCATTGTTTATATCTTATTAATTATTGTTTATGGTGTAGAGATATTTCTTTCTATCTCTGTGGTATCATGCACAGTTACAAGTTATCTACATGTGTTTAAATTGTTCCATAGTTTTAAATAATTTCTAAACTTGTTGTTCCATGCATTCCACGTTCAAATCTTACTGGTTAATAAACCTGATGAAGACCTGTGGTTTACGGTTGAAAACGTTAGTTTTCAATAAATGTTTGTTGTTACTGGTCTAAAAAGGTTATTGAGGTGCATTAAGTTTCACCACTTCTCAAAATAGTGATGGCCAAATGGATGAGGCTAGTTACTGGTGCTACTTGATGTGAATTTGAGCCTTTATGATTTTAGTATTTTTTTAATGTGTAACATAATTATTTTATTATTTTACTTTATCATTAGCATTATTATTGCTATTATTATTCCTCACATTTAAAACTCATAAAACAAGTTTTAAACCTGATGTCATTTCCTAAAAAAAACACTAAATTTGCAAACATTTGAACCTTTTTGCAAATTTATTATTTTTATTTTTATTTTGTTTTGAACACTATATATGATTAACAAAAATAAAGTGTTATATCACTGTCATAATACAAAACTGTAAGGATCATTACAAAATTTTTTAAGAATCCACTTTTTACCTGTTGCAAATCTATGAGCAAATTTCATTATTATTATTAACTAAAAATTTATTTTTAATTCAATTAAGTTATTTTCTGTTATTTTTTAAAATTTCCTTTTTACTAAAAATCTTCTATTAAAAAAATTTCATATAAATCTATATAATTGAGTCATGTTGATAAGTTAAAGGCTATGTTAGCCATCTGTAAAAATCACTGGGAAATGTTTTGTCTACATTCCCTTTAAAACACCACAGGCAAAAAAAAAAAAAAACATTTCCTTTAGATACCTGAGGAATATGGATCTCCTGGAACTTAGTTATTGTGAAGATAAAAGAATACTGGATTCGTAGTAATTACTCTATAGACATGTTTTTGTATGTCAACCAATTTTTGTTTAATCAAAGTATCTGTTAGTGTGTTTTTGCGACCTCTTATTTTCAGATTTTGTCAACTTTAACAGAAACAACTCATTAAGTTGTTTAGCTGTGGTCCCAAACATTGGCCCCTGTATTATTGGATCTGCAGGAGCAATTGTTATGTAAAATAAAAATAATTGCATTTTATTTTCTGTAATAACAATTTACAAATTTTTTCTTTGCTTTACCATAATTTCTGGGTCAGATGATGTGAAAAGGTGACAAGATAATATATCAATTGGAATCATTATATAAATGATAATCATCATCCTTTAAGTGAAGATATAAAAATAAGCCTACTCAATGGATGTATTGGATTTAGTGTTCTATTTGGGTGAAAGGGTGTTTTAGAGAAGATGTTTATTATATAAAAGACTTTCAAAACTTAGAAACAAAAAAAAATTTCAAAAAAGAAATGGTAGTCTATAATTAAAAGTTGATGCAATTAGATTTTTAGCGCACTTATTTTTTTCATTATATGCTTATTAGAATCTTAAAAAACATATCGTATTTACTTGCATATAGGATGAGATGTGATTTTAAAGATCAAAATAAAGAAAATTACATTTATTTATACAATTCTAAATTTATTTCATTTAATCACAAATAAAATATTATCAAATGCATATAAATGTACACAATTACTGGCATTTTAAACTTTAAGGAAAAATCTTGTAAAATTGACAACATAATTTGTTCATATAAAGCTGGACAATCAGAAACATTTTTTTGCCAATTCTTAACAGTCAAATCAACACTAATGAGTTTCTCCAAATCCCGATTTCCAAATAATCATCTGTTTTCATGATAATGGATTAAAACTTATATTGAGCTCCAGTGTGATTTTGGAATATCAATTTGGAATTCAATTCAAAATCTTAGCTTTTCCTATTGCTATTCATCTTTACTCCTGACAATACACAAGAATGATTCAAACAACCCAAATAAAAAGTTTTGTTTTTAGACACCAGAAAGTGAGCATCCGGTAAAAAATGCAAATACACGGTTCACAAAGATTTCTCAGTACACGTTGACACAAAGCCTGAGATACTGATGCCATTTCTGCTATGATATTCTGCTTTAATTGAGTTAATGTCCTCGGCTTATTTTCATACACCCTGTCTTTAAGAAATCCCCATAAGAAATAGTCCAAACCCCTTTGCTCAAGATTAGAAGAGTGCCTGGAGCATAACTGATGCCATTTAGATAACATAATTTTTAGTAAATAATTTTCCAATAATCGTAGATTGAAAATAAAAATAAAACATTTTTTGAACATTTTTTATTTTTAATTTATTTTACTTTTAAATTGCACTCACCCTTTCTGGACACCCTGTGTATAGACACTATTGTATGAAATTTACATAAAAACAGAAAAATAACATATTCTATAAAATTTAAAAAAGAAATATTAAAATATTTATATGGAAATGTATATAGTTTTGATTATATTTTTCATTAGAACTATCATATATATAAACTATTAGAGCTCTATTTTAATTGGAACATTCAATCTAGACCTTTAATAAATTATGTAGTTTTCATTCTACTTCTGCATGTTTACTAGAAAGAATTGAGTTAATTCTAGTTGATTGGAGAGAACATCAAAACATACCAGAATTTGTCAGAAAGTGTTTTTTAGTGCAGATAAAAAAATAGATTGAAGAAATACATAATTTGTAAATAGAATTTTTCAATTATAATGAAGGATGTTATAATAATAAGTGGAAAAATTAAAATATTTTCTTAATGTACTAGTAACCTAATTAAGTTAAATGACTAAATTTGCAGAAAATATTGCTCGTATTTAACATTAATAGTTATATTTCAAAGAAGTTTTAAATATTAAGTAAAAAAACAAAAAAAAATTGATTTTTTTTTCCAATTGTAAATTAATTCCACTGCCCACAGTTCATTCCTATTTCAAAAATATATAATTCATCATTAATATAAAATCTATTTTAATAGAAGTATTTAGTGATCGAATTTACTCAATAAAGAAATTTTTCAGGTTGTTATTGATCAGCGTGATCTATTATTTTTATCCTATACATGCATTCATTCTATTTATATAGACAAACATCAGATTAATTTATGATTTCTATACTTAGAAACTAACATTATTTATACACACTGTATAATAACAACATATAATTACCTAGTTAATTGCTATATTTTTTGGTATTTCAAACTTTACCAATTATTTCTTAAGTCTTTCGGCTTCAACTTTAATTCGAGAGTTCTACCTACCAGACTTTCGTCACCTATCGATAGTCAATATTTCATATATACAGCAAAAAAATTATAGCTTTAAAACCTTCGAGACAGTTAGGCAACCAATATAGCTTACGACAACCAATGATCAATACACAAAACGTCTTAAGCGCCATCTGAAATTATTGATCATTATAAAATTCAATATAATTATCCGTAAAAAATTTTTTTTCTATTTTAAATAAATAAATTTTAATAGGTAGATTTAACGTTTAATTTTTATGTATATATTTAACTAAAATTAATTCGTATTAGGAATCTCCGATTGAGGAATTAGGGGAGAAATCCAATTGGATAGCAATATTGCCCAAAATGGGGGATGTGAAAGGCCTTCAGGAGGTTTCGCTGTACGTGGCAATTTTTGATTATACAGGGAAGACCGTTTTAATCAATCCAATGGAATAACTTGAAAAATATGCATTCTACAAAAAACATCGTTCAAACAAAAATGTTAGACTGCAAGGATACCACAAGATGGGGCTGTCGGTTTCTTTATACTAGAGTACCATACTTCATACATGACACTACAATCGGTGAAAACGGAGTTGACTAGTGGCGTGCCATGAAATTTGATACAGTAGAACCTCGAAAACTCGGCTCTCGATAACACGGCACTCCGGATAACTCGGCCATACTCTGGCAGGGCAAAAAAATCCTTAGTTAATTAATTTTCATTATAGACAGCTTTATAAAAGTATAAAAGCTCTCATAAAGTACTTTTCTGAGGTCTGTCTTATCAGGTAAATTACTGTACACAGTGTATTCATTAATTTTCATTTTCATGTAGTAAAGGCTCTATGCCTTCATAAAGGACGTACTTTTCCTTTGTTTAAGGGTATTTGGGCAGTTTATTCTCTGTTATATTTTCAAGTAAACAATACATGCAAATACAGTACAGTATTTTCTGAGGAAACACTCGTACTTATTTTTTTAAGTAATAAGTACAGTATTTTCTGAGGAAACACTCGTACTTATTTTTTTAACCCCATTCCCGATAACCCGGCATTTTCACAAACTCGGCCACCCTTCGGTCCACATTAGGCCGAGTTTTCGAGGTTCTACTGTAGTAGGCAAACTGTGTTTCTGTAAGAAACCGACTTCCAGGGGCAATCAGTTAATTGCACGTCAGTGATAGTAAAAAACTTGTCGCGCGTAACCGTGGGTTAATCCCTCCATAGGTCGCGTTAAAAAAACGAACGAGGATACTAGACATTCTCCGGAAAAAAATTGTCTGAATTCAACACTGTACTGTACAGTACATGCGACTCGTAATTAAAATTTGCCTGGCACCACGAAGTTATAACGCGTTACTAACGAGATCCTCTATTCTTTTGTGTCGGTTTATCGAGATCGTTACTCTCGATACTCTTTTCGACTTGAAATGAGACTCCAATGAGTCGTCGCATTGAGGTAAAACGGTTGTATCTAGCCGTCTTTTATCAATGAATGTAGTTTATACATTCAGTTGGCAATCACTCGGTACATGCGGGAACAAGTAAAATAAGAGTTATTATTTTTGCCTTTTATTTTTAAGTTATTTTTAAATAATAAAAACAACTTGTTATTATTATTTACAAATTACTATTTTTCCCGTCACTACTACGGATTTTAACTATTATGGCAACCTGAATAGAATTATATCGTCAGAGGGCTCTTCAGTCGAATTTTGATAAACGCTTTCTCATTCTGCAAGTTTGTTGATTCTTCGCTAAAAGGTAAAAATGTTAATGATTAATGATCGATAAAATTATTTTTTATTAAATTGGATACGAAAAAATAATTACAAGAGTTTAAAATTTAAGTTTATGGTTAGTTTCGTTGATTATTTTCAATTACATCAAAATTTATTGTGTCGGTATTCATCGAAAAGTGTCGAATAATTTGTAAATTTAATTAATAATTACATTTTGTTAGTTTCGGGAATCAACGAAACTACAAGAATTTTAGTTTTATTATTCGAATTTAACCTTAAAAATGCACAGCAATGACTTTAAATAATTCAATAATCTTTTTAGTAAGATGAAATTTAAGGAAACGTAAGCAACACGTTTGACCAACATCATTTCTGCTTTAATATTCATTACAGAATTATTTGTTTTCCTTATTACTAAAGTATGTATGAAACCTGAAGATATACTTCAGGATACACGCACGCGTTTTTCTCTATTGATAACATCATTGTAGAATAACCGCTCGTTGCAGAATTTGGCAGTGCAACGGCAGTGCCAAAGCAGAAGCTGCACTCGTCTGAGTAGTAACTTTACAATGACTGCGTTCAACAGAATCTAAGGTTTCGGAACTGTTGGGTATTTTTCTGCCAAACGCCCTCTACAGTAGCACTCTTTTGGAACACATTTGGTAGCATCTTTTGTTTATGCTACCTATTGCTACCTGAAACTGACTGATGAGGCTTTTTGTTCCAATGCAATATCACTCGTCATTTGGCAGATCTGGGTTGTGCTATGTAACGGCTACCGATTTGCTCTGTTACAATTGTTGAGTCTGCTGAATGCAGCTAATGCCAAATGCTAAAGCAGTGATGGAATGATGTGGCATCTGTATGGTTGGCTGTAATCTCCCTGTTTGATGAGTTATTTAATGTTAATAAATGTAAACGTACTCTTTTGTTGGTGTTCCTTGACGAAATATAACAACATTTAACTAGAATACAAAAGTATTTTAAAACTAGATTAAGCTCGACAAGAGTAGTCATTGAACGAGCATTTAAAATTCTTATGTATTTACTTCTTATTATTTAACAGATTGAAAAGTAACATTATAATCGAGAATTATCAATCTTCACGAGTCCATCTGTGAGCACAGCTATCTTGATAAAGAGAAAAAAAGCAACTTTTGAGGCTGCTGTAAATTATACTTTTAAACTTGATGTTTGCTTTACATGCAGTGCAATGTTGTGATCTTATTAGTAATGATTTTGCTTCAAGCTTCCTTCAGCTGCTGCAGCTCTGCTGAATTTAGCAATGACCTGTAATTGTTATATGTAGATGGCAATGTTTTGGGTTTCTAGACTGATATTATACATTGAAAAGTTTAGAAGAATTAAAGATTTGCAGTATTTAGGAGATGACAATGCTTAAAATCAAATAAAGAATATCAGATACATAATGCATTCCTAAAAATATGTACAGTACATTGCTGAATGCCCAAAATCAAATTTATTTTTTTATCATGTTTATACCTCTGCTTGTTTTAGAGTTTTAAGTTAAATACTTCTGGGCTTTTCAGTTCATCTTTGGGAAGAGAACTACTTGTATGTGAATGTCCAAAAGTTGACCATTAGTGTTGTTTGTTACAAAAGTTCATTCCCAGAAAGTTAAGGAGAAAAGCTTTTAAATCACTTATTGAAGTAAGAAAGTTTTGCCTTTTACTGTAAATATGTTCTGATTAATGAAATAATTATGTGAAACATTAAAATCTGGATTAAATAGATAAAACAAAGTTCATTTTTACTTAACCAATTTTGCTCTAGAGGTAAACATTGAGGTAAACGTTGAGAGGTAAGAGTTGTGGGTTTGAGTCCCGCTCCGGGCCGATTTTTTCTCCCAGCGGTTCTAAATTATTTAAATTAATTAATTTATTCATTTTTACCAGTGATTTTAATTATACTGAAACCAAAACTAGTAAAAAGCTTTACTGCACAATGGCTTCCATAGTAATGTGTTGTTCAACAATCTGCTATTTTTCAACTTTTATTTCAAAGAAACAATAACAGAATTTTATTTAAAAATAAAAATAATAGTTAGACAAAGTATGTAACGTATGCATTACTGTATATGTAACAACGGGAGAACAGTTGCAAATTGTAGAAAGAGACCTGATAACACATCAGACTTCTATCTGTCAATTTCATAAACCTGGGTTAATTTCTTGGTTGGAAAGATTGGAGTTTTTTATTTTTAGCCTATTTGCAATTTTTTAACAAAATACTATTCATCTTGGTGTTAGATTATAAACAGGTAAAGCTATTCACATGAATGGGCAATACACAAGGAGAAAATAATATTGGACTTCACGCCGTATATTGGATAAGTAAAGTTGAGAAAATTATCATCAGGCGTTAACAACCTACAGCTATCGCTATAAACAACTAGCGCTTTCAACGAAACTATTTTTGTCTTCTTCAGGTTGAAAGAACAGTTAATAACCTTCAAATTCAAATAACAGCAACGGCAAACCAGCAATGGAATATAATCATAATAGAACAAAGAGAGAATTTGAAAGACGCGCGCTCGATGCCGACGCGCATGAGCAATAGAATATTTTGCGAGAATGCGGAGCTAGCGACGTTGTTTTAACCTGTTGTATAAGTTGACCCACAATGAAGGCACATCCAGCGTGTTGCATGGATTTAGCACGCTGGTAAATAGCGCCTTCCATATATACAAGAGGTTCCTGCTATCACACTGTTTGAGTATCCCCACTTGGTCCCACATTGGAGTGTATTGGTGTTGCAACACCAATCTTGCCAACTTGGTGTCGCACCTACCCGTACTAATAGACTGTTTATGTTCGGAGATGCGGCAAGACAACATTCTGGATGTCGCTCCAATGTACTGGGTATGAGTACCAGATGTTGTACTTTCCAATGGGATGGAATACACTCCAGACCCAGTACATTGGAGCGACATCCAGAATGTTGTCTTGCCGCATCTCCGAACATAAACAGTCTATTAGTACGGGTAGATGCGACACCAAGTTGGCAAGATTGGTGTTGCAACACCAATACACTCTGATGTGGGACCAAGTGGGGATACTCAAACAGTGTGATAGCAGGAACCTCTTGTATATATGGAAGGCGCTATTTACCAGCGTGCTAAATCCATGCAACACGCTGGATGTGCCTTCATTGTGGGTCAACTTATACAACAGGTTAAAACAACGTCGCTAGCTCCGCATTCTCGCAAAATATTCTATTGCTCATGCGCGTCGGCATCGAGCGCGCGTCTTTCAAATTCTCTCTTTGTTCTATTATGATTATATTCCATTGCTGGTTTGCCGTTGCTGTTATTTGAATTTGAAGGTTATTAACTGTTCTTTCAACCTGAAGAAGACAAAAATAGTTTCGTTGAAAGCGCTAGTTGTTTGTAGCGATAGCTGTAGGTTGTTAACGCATAGATGATAATTTTCTCAACTTTACTTACACAAGGAGAAAATTTACAAGTACACTCATAATTATTAAGTAGTTTGAAAGGCTTAAGGCCGACATATATTGTCATACTTATGAAAATAAAGTAACATAGAACAAAAGATAAAATTCAACCTTTTTTTTTTTTTGACTAGACACAAAATATTAAATTTATAAGGAATTCCTTTACATATGTTCGAGGTATTCTGAAATAAAAGTATGTATCAGATGTTCATAGTTAAGTAGTCCTATTCTTGACTGTCACTATAAATCGGGTGTCCAACCCATGGGCCGCATGCGGCCCAAGGCAAATTCCAATGCGGCCCAATAAACGTGTAAACAAAACCGACAAATTGTTTTATTTCTTTTATTTATTTATTTCAACAGCATAAACTCAAAAAAGAAGTTTCACAAAGCCGTAAACTTTTATACATATTTTATTTTTGAGTGAAAAGGAAATATTTTCAAATACTTGGAGATGTGTGAATAACGAAGGAATACTAAATAAAGCTGAAATTGTGACTCAAAGTATTATAGACCCAAATTTGAGAAAAGGAGAGAAACGTCAAAAAATAAAAAGTAGTGAGAAAGGTTAAATAGACCTTCTGTTATGCAAATATTGACCCTTAATTTTCCAACCTTCCTCACTACTATTTATCTTTATCTCCTTTTCTCAAATTTGGGTCTATAATCCTTTGAGTTCCAACTCCAGCATTATTTAGTATTCCTTCCAGCATTGCAAGATTTGGCTACCCTTTTTTTAGTTTGGCGTAAAAATTATAATTTGGTGTATTGGCTACTTTCTGGATTACATATTATTCATAAATATATTAGTCGAATAAAAATGCACTTTAAAATGGTGTTTTGTCGTTTTTTTATTAATTAGAGATCCAAATAAAACAAATATTTGTGTTTTTCAAATAAATTTTTGTTTGTCTCCTTTATAATAAATGAATTTATCTATTTCTAAGTAAAAATTGAAAGTGTCTGTAGAAGTAATTTTTTAAAATATCCTTTTTCGTGATAAAGTTTTATTACTTATTACTATAATCTAGATATGTTAATCTTTAAATATACTTGTATATTTAAGGATTGGGTCACAAATATATTATATATACTTGTGGCCCAAAACTCCCATGACTTCTTCCAATGTGGCCCAGAGGAACAAAAAGGTTGGACACTCCTGCTATAAATGCTGTCAGATTTGTATTTATAACTACCACTTCCTCAGCTTTTGTTATGGAATAATTTAAAATTCCAAATTTTGTAGTTTCTATGGTACACATTAAAATAGAGAAATAAATATTCTACTGTTTTACTGATTAGTATAGAAATATGGCACAAAATTTCACTAATAATGGCAGCACTTACATTTGTAGATGACATTTCCTAATTTTGAAACAAGAAAAAATGGACATCTCATTTTTAGTAAACAAAATAACATTTTAAATACAAGCTTAGGACCATAATGAAGATCATAAATAAAGTACCAGTTGTACTTTTAAAGAATGTGCAGCAGATTTTCAAATTCTGCTGTACAATGTAGGGAAAAATTTACAATTAGCACAGTCAATGCTATGAAACTTATGTATATAGTGATTTGAACTATAGCAGGAATGCCAAGTTTTTCATGAATGAAAAATTTTGATGTAAAAACAAATATGAAAAGTTATCTGGTTGGATAGTGATTTCTAACAAAACTAGATGAACCAATATTATTATTGTCTTAAACGTCAATAAATAGAAATGAAGTTATAACATGAATTAATATAGCAGAAATTTGTTAGTCATTCAATAATCAGAGTTTGTGGTAATTCAGTACCCTTTGAAAAGTAGCTGATGATGTGAAATTGCCCAGTTTCTCAGAGGGTGTATTTTTATTGTGAATTATATACTGTGTATATAATTCACAATAAGCAGACTTTCATATGATACTTTAATAATACAATAATACTAATAATACTTTCCAGACACACACACACACACATATATATATATATAACAAGCATGAAGGCATATAGGCACTATATGCCTTCATGCTTGACTGTATTGCTGCATGTATCCAGCCAAAAGGAAGTTGTACAAGATAATATAGGATTAGTTTAAATTGTACTCTTCTACAGGAAATTGTTTCTTTGCTAAGATATTGTAATGACTTATTACCACCATTATATTTGTCCTAATAAAGATTTATTTGATTCCAATATGCCTTCTTGGTCCTTAACTGTTTTCTGTTAATGTGAGTGTACTTTGTACATTGTCTAGAGAAGAAATCAGTAATGGAAAAAACTAATAGTGATTCTTTATTGCTTTTGTTGTATCTTATATAAATGTATTATAGCATCTTGTGTGTTTAACATAAAAATATAACTTTTAATATTTAAAATACAATGTAAAATATATTTTTAATGCTATTTTTATAAGTAACATGCACATAAATTAATGTTTGTAAGAAATTTTTTTTATTTTATTTTAGAAAATGTTTCTAACAAGATCAGAATATGATCGTGGTGTTAACACTTTTTCACCAGAAGGAAGATTGTTTCAAGTTGAATATGCTATTGAAGCAATTAAGGTAGAATTAATTTATTATTTATTAATTGTAATAAAAAGTAAGTTATTAACCTTTTAGCAGTGGGATAGTCAAGTATGGTGTTACCCCAAAGTAGTGGAGAATAAACGTGACAAATTTTTAATGCATTTTGTAAACAGTTATGTCTAGTAAAGAAAAGTCTTTTTTATTGTTACATAATTCATTTTTTATGTGAATTTTTTTTTCAGTAGTTTTTGGCTAGTTTTTGTTGATACCCCAAAAGAATTTAACGGATATATTTGTCCCTCACTTTTGAGTGGTTAAGACTGAATATTAATTAATGCTTAATTATTACATAAATATTAAATTTATAACTATACTAATTTAAAAAAATTATAAAGTAATGTAATATTTATAAAGAGAATAGTCATATGATTGTGTTGATAGTTCTGAATAATAATATATAGTATATAATAATAATATACTTATTACAATATATAACAATGTACTGTAACTGAATTCATCTTTGCATATAAATAACAAATTATGTCAACAGCATAATGGAAAACTTTCAAAAAATATATATATTCAAATTAATCGATATGCACAGAAATTCATTACTAAACCGCAACAGAAAGATATTTTTTATGCATCTCTAAATAAATTAAGTATAGTTTGTCTACACAAAATACATGGAACTTTTAAAAGTTTTTATCACTTTGAGCAGCTCCAAATCTATATTGGCGTCTGTTGTATCACCATAGGAACTACTGTTTGAACTGTTGACATCCATCTTGCTGATCAGGTGCTGTTTGGTACAGGCAGCTGCTAGTTGTGCATACTGCATGGGGCTGGGTATGGAGATGTTGCAAGTGCATTGAACATAGATGTGGCACAGGTAGTATGACAGTTTCTGCAATTTGTGTAAAGAGAAATCATTGTCATCCCAGAGTACTGTGTAGTGAGTAGAATGACTAGTGTCTTGAATGCCATAATGACTGCACAAGAAAAAGTCAGAATCAGTTGGATGGATTATGCTGGTATCTATGATGGTTGCCAGGAGGAACATTACCTGCTTTTCCAACTCTTCCATTGCAATTCATTGGCATCATACTTGTGTGATGCCTTTATCCTACCACAGTGTAAGTTATTCCTGGCTGATAATCTTCTTCTAATTCCCTACATGACACTCTTATCTGTGATATTTCTTTGTTTTGGATTTGACTAAATTCACCCTAACTTACTCCATTATGATAAAAGATGATCTTGATGGATTTTTGTCTTGTGTTTCTGTAAAACTCTCTTAATATTTCTTTTATCATTTCTTTCAGCTATTCTATTATCTCTATATATCTTTTCTTTGGTGGGCTGCTGAATTCTCACTGCTGCAGCATAATGAGAAAGATGAGAATCAAGACTTCCCACTACAGCTGCTATAGTGTGAGAAGTCTTATCTCTGGATGATGGATGTGTGACATCTATACCAAAAGAATTACTGGTTTTTGGAATATTTTAGGTTTTTTGTGTGAACTGAGTCCACAGTTTATGCCACCCATGTTTGCATTTATTTTTTGTAAAATACAGGTAGCCTTCGGTTTACGCCGATTCACAATAATGCCGCTGCACAATTCGCGATTTTGCTGTGTAATTCCCTGATTTTTCCTATGCCAGACTGATTTTCGTTTCAGTGTTGATGTATTTACCAAGCCGCGACATTGTACATTCGTTAAAACAAAGATTTTTATTGAATATATTTATTTTTTCTGTTTAATATTATTGGGTATGTATACATTTGCATTAAATTAATATTAAAATAGTAAACGTTTAGGTACCCACAAGTCAAGTTATCAAACTTAATAGTCCAATAAATGGCGTCCGAATCCATAGCACCATTGAATTTATCCCATATCAGTTCGTTCGGGAAAACACCCTACGACGCAGTAGCACTTTTGCCGATCACAAACTATCGTTAGTGAGACAAATCTACTTCTCGTTGGCCAGACGATATCTATCTCTCCTTAATTTTCCCGCTCAAACTGACCTTACATATGCGCTACGGCGACCGGTGGTCGACCAATCAGTGTCTCCGCTCGTCCGTAGCTCTACGTCAGGTTAACGTATCCTTTCAACTATGGAAAGTTTGACGGATGAACTTTGTGAGTTAGACAATGATTGGGAGCGAAGTGCAAATGTAAAAAGGAGCATCATCGCATCCATTCGACCATATTCCGAAATTCTCAATGAAAGAAAACAAAAATGTAAACAATTAAAGATGGATACTTTTTCCGAAAAATGTAAGAGATCCGAAACTAAAATTTTTAATAAAAACATTTAACTTTATTTTATGATAAAATACATTTTAAAAATTAAATTTATTTGTACTTTGTATTATATTGTATTAATAAACAAAATTATTTGCGTATTTTTCACTTATGTGGAACCTAACTCTATACCTCAGTATAAATATGGGTTCGTTTTACGCCGATTCGATTTGCGCCGGCTTTTGTAGGAACAGAACTGCGGCGTAAACCGAGGACTACCTGTATTAGAAATTGTTGTATCTTTGCATTTTTTTACAGTAGGTTCTCTAACACACACTGAGTCTAATCCTATTTCTGTTTCGGCAACATTTTTTATGTCAGAATATATAGTTGAGTTCTTATTAGGCAAAACAATAATTACTTAATCTAATTTTCAGACTTCTGCATACTTTCTTAATTTATTGATGATAGTGTCAACTAAGACAATACCTGTGATCTTTGGATCTTCTATTTCTATATCCATACTTACTCCTATTTTGTGCAATATTTTTTAAAAATTTTGTAAGTTTTTCTCATTACAGGAATTGAGGTAAACTACTCAACAAGATGCAATTTTGTATTTTTATGCTGTTGTAAAATTGCACATTTTTCATGTCCCAAATGCCATCTTTGGGAGTTTTGGTTTCATTGTTTTTATAACTATCACCTTTTCAAATTACTGGAGCAATCAAATAAAAATTTTAAATACAAGTAACAGAATTTTAATGAAAATATGAATGTTTTTGGTCTTCACCAAGTCCTGCCTTGGGTTTTTTAAGGAAACAGAATTCCAAAATGGAATGTTAGAATGATAATATTCCTGAGGCATGTTTTGGTGAAGGACAAAAACATTTGTAATTTTCATTAAAATTCTGTTACTGGTATTTAAAGGTTTTGTTTTTATTTCATTGTTTTTATACGTCACTTGGGGCGGATCCAACACTTGCTGGTAAATCAGCACATGTTGTATTCATTTGTAAGCCAAATTCCTGTATAAATTTTGTTATATTTAATGGTATTTTCTGCTGCTTGTTCTATTTCTTTGAATCTTTGAGCTGGAGGCTGGCATGTTTAAAATATCATGTTTTTAGTCTGTTGTTCATTATGTTGCTTTTTACATGGTTGACCTTCCACAATTTCACAAACTTCTAGAGGTAAATATTTTGTTTTCTCTTCGGATCCCACATGAAGTGTAGGAAGATGTTTATACTGTAATTCTAATCCATACTGCTCCCTAAAATAATCTACCTTCGTGTTATTAATTTAGTCATTTCTGTTTATTTCAAACACTAATGGTTGTTGTTGATGGTTTTTTTTTATCAACCCAATCACATTATATTTTCTTGGAATATTTTGATGAGTTACTCTTACTTTCAAACCTTTCAGTTCTTTTTCCACAGACTTGATAATATACTGGTTAAATGTGTTTGCAGTATTCTTTTTTAATGTTTGGCTAATAAAATCTAAAACTTTTTGTCTTTCATGAAAGACATAAATGGTTCTGTCATGTTAACCATTGTGAGAAATCGGACTTCAACGTCATGTTAACCATTGTGAGAAATCGGACTTCAACGTAAACAATTTAACGTCATAACATCAACTTTTACACTTGGGAGTAAATCATTTGTTAAGTTCTCAGCAGTGACAGTGACGCTTTCTCATAACCTCTTGACCTACTATCTCAGTTTCTCCAAGTCAATATAGCCAGAACTGCAAGTTTAAGCAGTTGCCGCCAGTCCCTCAACAGGATATCATCTTTTATCTAGTGCCTAATTTAGTGCTAACGGATATACTTAGTTCTTGCGGATACTTCAGTTCTACAGATACTTCCTTGTCTATGGATACACATTTTGAAGACAAATTCTATCTCGGGACTAAGATACATTGCTACACGATCAAGAACACCTCCAAGAACGAGCATCAGACTATTTTTGAACATCTTCAGCCCAAGGTATTTATTGCCATGTGAATCTCTTGTAAACTTTCTCTCTCTTGCAACCATTTTTGTTTAAAGATCCCTTGAAGTTAAGGCCTAACGAACTGTAACAGAATTGTAAATTGTATTGTAATTAAATCGTTATTAGTTGTTAACTTGGTACCTAAATGATTCACTTTGGGTACACTGTCTCAACCCATCTCCATCCTGGATCCAATTGCCCATGCACGCAGCCACTCGTATGACTGAATCACCAGGCCATCTCAGCTTTTGTGTCAACCGGGACATGATGGTATTAGTCCTGATGAGGCACTAAAGAGGTGCCAACCCTCCGGTCACACCATCATCTTCCCTGCAGTAGATCTTACACTCTGGTAGTAGCCAAACCATATTGCTCTCTCTCCTCCCAGTGGATGCAGGTCATCTGGATTCGGCAGGTAGAATAATGATTTTCCAACTGGCATTAATTTTAAATTTAATCCTGTTCTCATTATGATGTCTAATGCCATAACTGTTCTAAAAGAGACTTCTACAGGTTTGCCTTTAAAAAAATCTATGCAAAGTATCCAAATTTATGACATGCTCTTCTTTTATTGGTGTTATAACAACTTTAAATTGTTTAGAGTTATACTTATTTAGAATTCTTGGTCATTTATTAATTAAATGACCAAGAATTTGCATTTGTTGATATATTTTAATTGAATTTTAAAATATTTTATAAAAACAAAACACTATAATTCAGGTATTGAAAATGAATGTTTTGTACACTAGACCCCCCTATAACGCTTAGATACGTTCCACGCTAACCGAAAATTACGTTGTAGGAACGATTAAATACATGAGCCAATCGCAGCCCGATAGGTGGGAACTTTACGGACTAAGGCTGTTCGAAAGGTTTTCTTCTATAAAATTAACCGATTCTAGACTAATTCGACTCAACATTTCCAAAACACGTATAATTTTTTGGGA